CCTCCCTCTCTCTTACTCTCATCCTCCTCTTTCTTTTTGCTTTGTGCCGGAGATCAGCCCTTACTCGAGGGGCTTTGATGAAATCCTTTCAAGGCAGACTGTGATGGTCTGAAATGTCATTCTCAGATCAGATGTCTCTGAAACAACGCCTGTCATATCATTTGGTACGCTCGACTTCATTAGTGCTTTGTTCACTTTCACGTCAGTTTCACAAGCACAGTCGCTCGGTGAAATCACTTGTGGCTTCTTAGTTTTTCCTCCCATTTAAGGTTTACAAAGAAAATTATCCCATACATTGGACAGAAAGCCGTGCTATTCTTCAAGTGGGTACTGTGCGTTTCTTTCACTCTGATAGTCCAACAGTTTGCCAAAGATCACATGTCCTCAGTGAACCTGCTTTGACTTGACAAAGGTTCTGCTGCCCTAAGTCATTTTCTCTCCTACATGCACCAGTAAACTCACTTATAGGACTGGATGCTGTGGCTGAAATCAAACTTTATAACAGAGCTTGGATAAAAAGTTAATTTTATGACAAAATACCTGCAAAACTACCTGGAGGAAAGCAAAATTCCAAAGAAGCTTTGATATTTGTCTAGATTAATTCTCCAAGACATATTTAAGCTTGTTATAACATCAGTGTAATATTTTGTTTGGTTTCTCATGCTACTGAAATGCAGCGCCTGAGAAACAATTCTTAGCTTTTAAAATGTTCCAGATTTTTTCTGGCACTTTTTGTCTGAAAGAACATAACTCTTGAAATACCACTAAGATGCAAAAACAATTTATTTGGCCCTGTAAATAATATAAGACTTTATTTCTTTGAGATTTTTTATTTTTGATTCACATAGTTTCTTAGTTTCATAGTTATAGGGTTAATGTTTATTTTCCTATTGATGGCTAACAGCTGTTAAAGGTGTCACAAATCTTCAGGAAAGTTATGTAGCCATGTCACACACTATATTCTGTTGAATATTTTTGTTAAGTCTACCTAAACATGTCAGAAATTAGGTTATGGTACACATTTGAGGCATTGACATCTCTCAGCTTACTTGAGCACTGTTTCAGGTTATGGTACACATTTGAGGCATTGAGAGCTCTCAACTTACTTGAGCACTGTTTTGATGTAACAGAGGTGGTAGGGTAGTTTGTCCAGTAATTGCAGGGTTGGGGGTTAGTTCCCCAGCTCCTCCTTTCCACAGGTTGAAGTGTCCTTGGGGATGACAGTGGACCCCCTGTGGGGCCAGCCTGCAATTTTAAAGCGCTTTGTTCACTGTTCATTTTTCTGTACCTCAAAACCATCATTTACGAGAAGCCTATGAGCACAGAATATCCTAAGAATGATTTTCCTCCTTTCTTTTCATTGCTTTTTCAGGTCCAGGGGTAATTTTTCTTAAATTGATCCTAGCTGTTGCACCATATTTCTTCTAAGGTTTGGTTGAGTAAACTTAAACTAAGAATGTGATTTACTTCTCAACAAATGAAAGAAAACTGTGACCAACAAGTTTCCTGTGGGTACAGACATCCCCCTCAGTCTTGGCTGTACTTTATGTTTGGTGCTACTTATCAATCACTGATGGTGAACATAGAAAACAATATACCGGCTCCATGTCAGAATTATTTGCGTTATCATTGTTTGCATAAAAGCATGCTGATGTTAATGTTTACTTTTTTAACTATTGTTTCTATGGTGATATTTACTATGTATGCATCAGTATGGAAAATGTATGTAAAACACATACAGCATAATGAATATTTAATTCATTTAAATGTGTTCCACTGTTATGTAGTATACAGTCATGCAAACCTCTTCTCACATGCACTGTAACATATCAAACTGTATTTGGAAATAACTATTTTATTTTAAATGATAACACTTTATGTTCAAAATCACAATACAATTGATCACAGTTGTACTGTGGTCCATTTAGGTGATAAACATGTAATGTGTCACAGTTTGGAAAGACAGAACAGATGGAGAAAGAGGGTTTTATTGTAGACTGATGACCAATTTTATTTTGTTATATGAACATGCTTGGTTTTGTCTCCTAAAGCCCACAACCTTTCTTCCCATAGATTGGAAGGACATTGCTTGCAAACATTTAATCAAGTACTGTATATCCAGACAAATTAACAACAGAGAAATGAAGTGGCTGACTGAGAGGAGTATCTCAATCAACAACGGCAGACATTTTCTGGTACCTGGTACCTAGAGGGAAAATTCCCCATTGCTGTAACTCTAGCCCAGAATGTATGTGGACATCTTTTCTTGGTCAGGTACTGCCAGGGAGTTTATAATTGAGTTGAGACTCAGGAAATACTCATTAAGACGTTGTCAGTCACGAGAGGAGGCCGTGCTCAATGTGTTTAGACACCATGGAGACTGCAGGCATCCCAGAGCCTTGCTCTTCTCCAGCTGGAGGGCAAAAGTGTATGTCTGTATGCAGGTGTGTGTATTCATGTGTGATGTGTGCATGGGTTTAATAAACTCACAGGTCCATGGAGCACCATCTGCCTGCACGGTGTTTGATTGAGCATGAGCTGGTTTTGAGGGACACCCCTGCCACCCACTATGTGTGACAAAGTATTGATAGAAACACCTGTTTATTGTCCTGCTCTTTCCGCAATCTCCCCTGGAGCAGCTGCTTCACTGGTTGGAATTTACGACAAGAGGCAGCAGTAGCCTCTAGCCCGGTAATTTTCTCTGGATATAAAGTCATCTGTAAATAAAAATAGGCAGCCAGACACATTTGAATACTGTGCTTTACTGTTTATAATTAATTTGACATTTAGGAATTTGATTCATGTAAACTGTATGGTGAATTCCATTTACATAAAGTAAGGAACTCACCTATTTTATGTTCAAAATGCCACTCTATATCATAATACTTTCAAAATTATAATTAGGTTGATACACACATGTTGGCCGTAAATATATTACTATATGGTGCTCCTGACCTAAGTATGTCATTTTAGTAAATAGCCTTTCACTGTGAATAACATGTAGTTGATCTGATCATTAAATCGAGCTTCATGGTTTTCTAGCCATTGATTGTTTGATCTTCCTTTGCCTGGCTCAGGTGAAATTGATTAATGCGCCATCTATGACAGGCAAACGCATAAACACGCTCTGACAACTGCCATTACTGCTCAGTTTGACAGTGAGCAGAGCAGAGGATTTGGACACTGATATGGGATCAACGGTCGTTGATGTGGTGTCAGTAAACAGTATTATCAATAATAATCAGGTTGAAGTATAAAAACTTAAAGGCATGATTACACCTTTGATTATACACTAAATTCTATTATTGCCATTTTTGAGCTAGCTTATGAATAAAGGCATAAAAGTAAAAAATAAACAAGAAATCACAATAAATCATTACTATAACTATTTTACCCCTGGGCTCACTGCTTAAATACAGCCATGTAATGCTGTGAAATTTAAATGAATCTTTAAGTAGGTAATAAGCAGCTTGAACAGTCATCTACTGTAGTTACACTGTACAACTGGCTCAGCTTGAGCAGTAGCTTAGTCACATCTTCTTGCTGAGGAATGTCCTCCTATAGGCATTTTAGGTAGTGTGATAAACAAGACACTAATGAAAAGCCTGTTTTCTCTTTATGACCTCAAAAAAATAAAAGCATAGCTGGGAAATGTAGGAGGAGGAAGAATGACAGCATTCCTGTGATAATCTACTATATATAATAATTTTTGAATGAGCTGCTTGCTTTGGCTATCTTTTTTATTTAAAAAAAAAGAAAAACAAATGGCAGAATTGTTTATTTATTTATTTTATGTGCGTGTGTGACCAGGGGTAGATAAGATGAGTGCACGTTCCATACGCTCAGAAGTGAATGTATAGTGCAGGAGAGAGCTCCAGCAGTATTTCCAGTGAGACAGATGGATGAAGTTCATTAAGCATGTGACAGTTAACACCTCCAGCAGGGAGAAAACACTGCAGCGGGTAAATAAATGTTGGCTTTACCAGCCCCTTCCTCCTGTTATTTATACACCAGAATCAACATTTCTATTAGGCATGAGCTATGGCAACTAATGATTATTACTTCTATGATCATTATGAATGTCCTTCTCTCACTGAATGTTTCAGCCATATTTCTCCAGCTGTTTTATACCAAAGGTAGCAGATGTCGTCAGGCTAGGAAATGGATTCCCTGTCTGATTTGAAGGATTTCAGTGCAGCTTTGGGAAATCTACACTGTCATCAAGTATGGCTCCTTGTGTAGGAATGTAGAATAATTTAACTTAATGTGTGTCACAAGCAACATAGGCTCACTTTGGGTTTTATTAATCCTCAACTCATTCTTTTATGTCCAACATAAAATCCACAATTAGAAATAAGAAAACACACATGTAAAGACTGTAAAGGGATAACAAAGTTAACAAGTTTAAATTGTCCTTGAGTAATCACTGTGATTTTGCAGATGGCCCAGTCTATAGTGTTAGCCTTCGGGAACCCTACCTTTTCTTACCTGTATGAATTTCAATATGTGGATTCCTGATCTTTAAAAAAAAAAAGATTGGCAAGTGATTTGTTTACTGCAACTTTTAATATTGGAATGTGAGAGTGGATATATACAGTGTGAAGGATGGTTGTTTTATCCTTATGCAGCCAATTTGATGATTCTGAGAACTGTAAGCTTTGTTCAAAGGTCTTCCAGTAATGTAAAACATGGCAACAAGTGCTGGCTTTAGTTTTGATGTGATTCTCAAATAGTTTCTCTAATATTTGCGGACTTTGCTGTTTACTGAAGATGTTTCACTGCCCCTCTTTTGCTTCCTTTGCGAGTATGCGTGTGTCTGAGAAACTGAGAGAGATTCAGCCCTGATGCAGAAACAACTATGACTGATTTTGTCTTTCATTCTGTTAAAGCAATTGCATTGACTTTGTATTTACACCTTTTTGTTCCAGAAATATATATGTTTTGTGTTCACATCTTGATCTTATTTTGTAACTCTTCATTACTGTGTGTTTACTCTCCAGACCCTGCCAACCACAACGTATGAGTTAGAGATTGTGGCCAAGGACATGGCAGGAAGTGAGGTGGGCCTCACAGGAACGACCACAGCCACCATTACCATCACAGACAAGAACGATCATGCTCCTGAGTTCACACATCCGCTGGTGAGAAACATCCCCTTTTACTCTCTACTTCTTTTGAATGGTGCATTGTCAGTTTAATCCCCTTGTCGCTTACATGTAGCTTCTACAGATATTATGTAGGAAAATTGTTTGTTTACCCCTCCAGAGTCGTCAAAGGTTAGGGTCCGTTAGAGATAGCTGTACTTCATTCCTTCAAGGACTCATGATGCATCGTCAGGGCAGATTCTTACCAATAGCAAGCTTCAAACCAAGGTCTCCTGTTTAAGGAAAGTTTCTCTTGCTAATTAGAGCAGTTACTGAGGCATGTGGTGACCCCTCTGAAGGTTTTGTTTGTTTGTTAGTTTATTTGTTCTACTTTTATTTGCTTTAAACTTGGTAGACAATATGATATTAAAGTAATGAAGCCATCAAAGCTGTCCCCAGGTGTGGTTTTCTGGTGTTGGGATTGTAGCTTTAGGTATAGCTTACACCATTTCATCAAGAAGAGTGGGCATTTGTTTTTGCATGGTGTTCTAATTAGCCAAAATTCAAAGAATCACACATATTTGGTTTTTTATTATCATTCATCCTATCAACAAACACTTCTATCGTCACTAACATGTAGGAGACGTCCAGCAGTTTCCTAAGTGGTTAGGAGCTGGCAGGAGTTAGTGATCACGCAGAGATACATTTAGGTGCAGATTCTGTGATACAGTATTTTGCTAACATTTAATGATTGTGAGCTTCTGAAAAGATACTGTATGACTAAAAATTGCATAGTCTGGTAACAGCTCTTGGAGGGATGCAATTGCCATATCAACACGAAGAGCACATTATTGTTAGCAGGGAAGGGATGCATCCTTGCAAAAGTAATGATTTGTTACAGCCAACAAGTTCAGCCATAGTTAATCAAAAGGAAGCCCTGTGTCACCAATGTCCAGAATCGCAGTTGACTGCGAGTCCGAGGCATCTGGGACGGACCATCACACAGTGGAAATGTGTATTGTGGTTAGATGAATCAGTATTTCATGTCTTTTTTGGAAGAAATGGACACCATGTGCTCCAGACCAAAGATAAAAAGGACCAGCAACAAGTCCAAAAGCCAGGGTCTGTCATGGTCTGGGGTTGTGTCAAAGGTCACTTACACTTCTGCGATGGCTCCATTAATGCTGAAAAATACGTAGAGATTTTGGAGAAACACAAGCTGCCTTCAAGACGACATCTTTTCCAGGGACACCCATGCATATTTCAACAAGACAATGCAAAACCTCATAGTGCACACATTACCAAGGCCTGGCTGTGGAGGAAAAGGGTGCAAGTCCTGGACAGGTTTGCCTATAGTCCCAACCTGTCCCCAGTAGAGAATGTATGGCACATTTTGAAACACAAATTGTGTCCACGAAGACCCTGAACTGTTGTACACCTTAAGACTCGTTTGCAGGAAGAATGGGACAAAATGGCACCTGACACATTTAATCACTTGGTGTCCTCAATCCCTAAATGTTCTTAAGTGTTGTGAAAAGGAACGGAAACATCACACTGTGGTAGATGTTTTACTGTCCCAACTAAAAACAGCTCTCCTCCAAAGGAGTCTTTGTGCTTGTTTCTGCCTGGATGCCACCTCCTACAACTCCTGGAAAGTCGTGACACCTCTGGAGAAAGGAGAGAGGAGTGATTTTCTAAGTTAATAATGTTGATAAAATGGTCTTACTTCTATTTGTAAACATAGGCCATATATGCATCATTCTGAATATTTTGGGGCAGTTAGAAGTGATTTCTCACTCTTAGATGCGTGATAAATATGGGCTGTGGTTCCTTTTGCAGCCAAGACATTTGAGAATTTACAGCCATACAGTATATTATTCAAACTAAACCTTTGTCCTACTAGCCAAGTAGAAACATTAGTAATGTAATAGTCAGACTTTAGTCGACATACTGTAGCAGCAGCTTATGCAGTGAAACCTTTTTCTCATATAAAAATATTTCTTTACCTATAAAAATATCATGTGGCGTGCTGCATGTGTCTACAAAGAACGTATGTGACATATACTGTAATAGTACATCAGTGTTGCTGGTTGATATGGGTGCAGAAGAATGTTATGGAAATCTGTGAGCAGGAGTGGGAGTAGATATGTTGTGGTTGGATGATGGTTTGTTTAGTCAGCAATGCCTTAAGGCAATGTGTAAAGCTCACAGCCTAAACTGGTCCCTGGCAGTCATGCTATAAAAGAAAATGTGCCCGTACAAAAAAACAGAAAATAGCACACAATAAATCACACTTATTGCCCATTTGTGCCACCTCATGATGAATTTGTCAAAAGCTGCTACCATGGCTGTTTTCCTTTCCTCTTAATCCCTCCTTCTCAACTCTGGAGGTGAAAAAACAGGAAAAAGAATGAGATCCTTTAAAAAAAGACTCTCCCTGCACTTTAAGGTGCAGTTGTAACATTGAGTTGTGTGGTTCTTAATGGAAACGCCCATAGCTGTTGTCAAGTTTCTAGACATATCATGCTTTGCCCCAACTAAACCTCCCCTACAGGCCTCCCGTGATGCATTGGGGTGTCAGGGGAGCTTGTAAGGAGCGCAGCTCAGATGTGAAATGTTACAGCACAGAGGGCTCGGCAGGGCCGTGCAGAGTGCACCATGTTCATGTCCCCTTTAATGTTCTCATTCCTCACTGAGAAGAGATCCTTTTAACAGCATGGAGAAATTGAGCTTTTTAAAAAAACAAGTGTTTGAAGGCACTAAGCTCCCTCTATAAATCCTCTCCCCCTCCACTCTCCCTGACTGCTTCCAACATACTCATGAATCATCTTTGACCTCTGAGATGGCCACTATCATAATGTGAGTGTGTTTGCTAGTGTGTATCAGTGCTGAGTTTGTGTTGGCAGCAGCTCCCGAGCTTTCATCTTTTAAATTATTAAACTAGTCTTTTCATAGAACTTCCCAAAAAACCTTTTCTTCAGAAGAATCCTGAGATGTCTTTTTCTGAAGACACCAGCTCCTGCAGACTTGATGTAAGCTTTAAAAGCCTGGCCAAAATGAGTCCAACATAAAGATACCAAGAGAGCAAAAGAAAGAAGCAATGTTCAGAAGCTGTGTTGCTTCCTGCTCCTATTATACATTTAAGCCTCTGTAGCTACATTTCATGTGTTGACAGTTCGTATTGAACAGGAATAATCCCCACATAGGATACCTCTCTTCTTCCTCAGACCTACAGTGCCAATAAAAAGTATTCACCCCCTTGGATGTTTTACCCTTTTAATGATTTTATAAATTAATCATGGTCAATATAATTTGGCTTTTTTGACAAAAAAAAAAAGAAGAAGAAAAAACCTCTTTAATGTCAAAGTGAAAAAAGGTTTCTACAGAGTAATGTCAATTAAATAAAAATGTTATTCCTTTACAAGGAATAATATTCCACTCCTGAATATAGATTATAAAAGATGCACAGTCATTTGTTAATACTGGTGTGATTGACTGATATAACAGAGGGGGGAAAAATCACGTTTGGAACCACTTGTTACATTGATTTCTCATTCTTGTCATAAATTTAAGTTAAAATTATTATAATGGATTTGGAGCATCTGTATTGTGAAGCCATAACAGTACATTGACAATGACGCAGGAAGCAGCGCTGAAAGTATGGCTTTCATTAATGACTTTTAACTTAAAGCTGTCCTAAAATTTTAAATCTTTTGCAAGGAAAACTAAACTATATAATAATGCAACTATTGTGTATAATTTACCAGTTACTAAAACAGGGTAGAAGTTTTTATTTTGACATATTATTGGAAATTGTGTCTGAGGTTCAGGCCTCTGGTAGCAGTTGACTGATATCTAAGAGCTGGTGTCACTAGGAGACACATTGTTAAATTCTATGGTCTTCTACTAAATGGAACATATTATAGCCCAGTTTGGTGCTCATACAAGATGGATCTTCCTCTATACGAACATACATAGCATCGGTTATGTTCCGCAGATTCAAGACATCTGTTTACAACATTAAACATTTGGGAGGCCCCTTTGTGCTGTTAAGTTTGTAGTGACAGTGGACAGACACAACACTGGACTGGTGAATTAGGCTGCATTAGTTTTAGCCATGTGAAACTAATAAACTGCCAACTGGTTTCTGAAAAAGACTTCACTTTAATTTTAATTTCACTCCTAATTTTATCTTTAATTTTAAGTGTAAGAAGTGAGAGGTACTGTCAAATGTTGTAAATGGACATACACTGAATTATTGATGCAATACTTAAATATGAACCTATAGAAAATCTAAGAAACCTGCCAATAACCTCAGTGTAATCTGTCCATTTTTTGGTTGTGGCAAAGTGTGATATGTCCATTTTAAAATCATAAGCCAAGATATCCTTTCTTAATAGGAAATTTATTACATTTTGTTACCAAAGCTCTTTCTAAGGGATTGGGCTGTGACCTGATTAACTTTTATAGCGAGGCTCCAATCCTATTTTTATGAGGAGGGCAAAAACCTGATATGGAATCCTTTGGTGGTTCTGTCCTCTGAAAAGCCAGAGATACACTACATGCTCCTGTAACAAAAATGGATGATTCTCCTGATGAATTTCTTATGCCAGTTGCATCTGGGGTTATATTATCTCTCTGTGTTTACTCCATGTCTTGTGTGCACGGTCTCCAGGATTTTTGTGCCATGTCTTGCTCCAACTGCACCAGATAACGTTTGTGGATATATTTAAACTTTTGCACCTGTTTATTCTGGTATCAGCGCAGATGGTGACATACCCTTACCGTCTCCCACACTGAGCACCTTCCGCCCTTCTTGCCTCTTACCCTCTCTCTCATTTCATTCATCCTTGTCTTCTAATATCCTGATCCACCCTTCAGTCACTTATTTTGTGCTTCCGCTCCTTGTCTCGTCAACCCTCTGGCTCTGCTAATTCCACACCATGTCTGACTGGGCATATTTCCTCCTGCTACTCATAACAAGACCATGATGGACGTTATCACTCCTGTCACTCAAATGCCCTGTCAGCCAGTCTCTGTACTTTTTGCTCACTCAA